CGGGGCACACCTGTTGGTACGCGCCATCCAAAGATTGTCACGCTCGTTTGTCGCGGGCTGTAATTGTGCCAAATGAAGTGAAAACTCAAGCTTTAAAAAAAACGCGTTTTCTTCGTGGTAGTTATTCGGCAAGCCAGGCTGAGCCCATCAACTCGCTGCACCTTCAGCAACAGGTTTCGTCACGGCTGGGCACCGGCTTTGAATCCAAGGAAGGTGTCAAGCGTGGTGCCACCTTAGCGCTCTGACCCCTCAACCCACCCAGCCAACCCCGAGGGGATTCGCCTAATTTTAGGCGAGGTATGTCAAAGAAAGCAGCTGCTTGTGGTGGCCCAGAACAGCGCTTTCTTCATCATCACCATCATCATGCACAGGCATTTTTGTCCATCCACTGCTGGATGAGGGCCTCCTCCACACGTCGTGCGGGTCACGTGGGGACATGGGAATTATTTGTCTTACTGAACCCCACGCTGGTTCGCGCGCCTTGGTGATGGCATGGGAGCAGAGTACAGTACAATAATGGATTTGGCTCTACTGCTCTCCACTGCCCACACCAGAGACCCCCACCGCCAGCAGCCAATAGCAACTTGTTTTTTTTTAATGCGCGGTGGTCGCCCATCCAAACACGATCGAAGCTAAACCTTTTTGCGAACGATATAATCATCGCCTTGTACTTTTAGAAGCCGGAGTATTAGACTATTAGACGTTGTCCCTTGAGCTGAACTGTATTTCTCTTCCTAACAGGATTACCTCCCCCCCCCCCCAGTATATCCCATTGTGTGCCCTCGACATCATCTCATGAGACGGAACGTTTCCATTCCGAAACTCCCGGCGCGAAGTTGCAAAGAAACCAAACAGCGTCGTGCGGTCGGGATGGACGGCTCTGTGGAAGTGGCGTGGCGTGGTTTGGCATGGCGTGATTTGGCGTGGGTCCTGTGGTTGTACGGGCGCAGCACGGGTTGGAGAAGAGATGATGGAGCTGATGTGGCACGCGAGGGTGTGGAGCTGAGTGGACTTGCCAATGACCGGTACAAGCGGTGTCGAGATCGGCCGCTGTGCAGGAGGAGGCTCGTGAAGGACGCTGCTACTTAGCAGTTGGAGGCGGTCGCCCTCCAGCAACAACGGAGGGCGGAGGAGCGACGCTCACAACAACGAGCGGAGCGACCGGGCGGCTAAAACACAGCAGGTTGGCACAGGGAGGGGGGCACAGCTGGTGCATCGGCCAGTCATCTCAAGTCAGTCGACCCTTGGCACCTGGGTCTGTCCCGTGACCTCCTGCTAGCGGGCGTTCGACACTTCACGTGGCCTTCAAGTGCACATAGCCTGGCACGAGAGCCGTGGTGACGTCACTGCGAATGGCGGCTGTTGTGGTTGTAAGGAGTGAAACGGGGAAGGGGGGGGGCTCATGAGGCCACCTGTCCAATGCCCCCCCCACCGCCAATAGACCGCATTTCCGATTAGCACGGTTGGCTACGTACGGTGCAAAAGAAGTTCAACACACACACATACACCCGTAGTTCGGCACTGTGCAGTTGCACCGTTTGCACACTCGACAGCTGTGCTGCACTTAGAAGATGATGTTACAGAAGCAAAAAAGACTCGCAGTTGCACGGCATAAGTGGCTTTTAAAATGTAGTGCACGTTTCCTATCTATAATACGACAGCAAATTTAGTAAAGGTTTGTCAGGTAAATAGAACATGCCAATTCGTTACTAGTACAGCACACCGGCGTGTTGGAGAGTTACATCGACAACATTTACAGAGTACGACGTTTCGCCAGTAATTACAACTAGCAATCATCAAGGCGAAAAGTATCCTCCCCATCGTCAGTTTAACACGTAGGCTTTCGCGATGGCATTGGACGCGAAAGACCAACGTTTGTTACATACGAGTGAGCCCAGCAACAAAAACGATTTAAGTGGAATTTTTTTTACATTTGTAAATATTTTATTTCATGGCCTCAATTTGTTCGGCCTCGCACCCCAGGTGTTGTCAGGCACTCTGGAGACCACGTGATGCCTTGTCACGTCACATCGAGCAACCTGCTTCATCCTACAACGCCTTTAAACATTACTGATCTCAGTGTGCCCGTTGCCGAGTTAAATAAAGGACACTGGTGCCTTATTACAGTGTATACAACCAAAAATATAAGCGAAACTTTTAAATGAAAATAAAGCCTCCGAGACAAGAGAGAGTAAGAGAGCATTGTGTAGCACATAATCAAGAGACAAAATCGAGACCAGAAGTCTCTTTGATACCACATCATCACGGTCCTCAAATCCCTACTACTGCCTCCAAATTCAAGTCAGCATCAACTACAACATCGACCTCACTGCTTTCAAGATCATCGGTGGAATCGGCCCCATACCAACCCTTGCCTCGACTACTACCCAAACCTCTACTGCCCCTCCACGTGTCCTCAGGGCTTTTCTCAAAATCATTGTGAAGCTCAGCTGGGAGGATGCTCCTGTGCAGCTGCCCCCCCCCCCCACCCCCGTGGCTTGGATTCACCTAGGTCGATTCGGCCTTAAATAAGTTCTGTACCCAGTGACAAAAAAATCGGCCGAGGAATTTCTAAACATACAGGGGCCCAATATCTGGGCAACTTCATTGGACCATTTGGGCTGGTCCAAAAATATTTTAAAAACAATTGGGCCGGTGAGGTAGAATCTTTGGGGATGCCGAATATACGGGACTTAATGCCAACTGAAATCGTAAATAAGCAATAAAGCGTACACATTAGAGGTAATACAATATTTTTTTTATTTTTGTTAATATTTTTTTTTACTCTGATCACATTTGAAATTTTCCCCATACAGTCCGGCCCACCGTCTCTCGCAATGGTCCGGCCCCACCGGGAATTTGCCCTGCAGACTGCTGCCCTCGCCGGCCTGGGCCTGAGCCATCGTCTGTACCTTGTGCTTTGCGTAAACATCACAACTTTGGGAGATAAAGGCAGCCGAGGTTGCAACTGGTACCGGGCACATCACAGATGCTCACTTAATAACAGAATTTACCCCCCCCCCCACGCCGCCCCACAACAGCCCTTTGCAGGCTATAACAAACACGGCGTAACTTTGCCTTTATGTCAGATCCCCCCCCCACCCCCGTGTCGCCAAGGCGTTCATTCGCCCCCCAGACGGAACGGCGCTCAGCGAGTCCCCAGTGTAGGATGCGAGCGATGCTCCCGCGGGGGGGTGGGGGGGGGAAGCGATTCCTCACCACCACAATCCACAACGCGTGGAATGGCTCTTCCTGTGCGCGCGTGTCCAGTTACACGGCTCATTAAAGGGCTCCGTTACGTCTGCGTGTGTGTGTGTATATATCTATGTGTCATTTTTGTATGTGTCTAGTACAGGGGCGTCGGCAAACCTGCGGGCTACGGAGCCGCATGCAGCTCTATCAAGAGCTGCTGCTTCGTGACAGTTTTATTGAGGACCAGCACCGTCTCGCATTCACCCACGTGTGCTTTGTGCGGGTCTTGAAATATTGAGTGGGGATTTTTGTGGGTACCAAATTCGAAAAAAAATGCTCTTTTATTTAGATTTAAAGCTTTCGTGACTGCAAGGATTCATCTTCTTTGGTTCTTTCGGTAAAGTCACGTAGAATGAGAATTAAATAATAAATTTATAAAATAAAATAACACAATAAAATTCTCACGACGTTTCGGCCACAACACAAGCGGCCTTCATCAGGTGAAGGGACGAGACTGTCTAGAGGACAGCGCTGGAATGCTCTTTTGTTATTTTGGTTTTCGAGCCCTGGACTGGTACGTACGAATGTATGTATGCAATAGCAGTGGCGTTTATTTGAACCACGCCTGGGACTCCCCTAGGTCGACTCAGCTTCATACGAGTATCAGGTGCGATTTGTAAAAAAAAAACAGCGCCACTGGGGAGACAAAGGCGACCGGGCGTGGTGCTGGCCACCCACCCCCACGTGTGCCGTGCCGGCCTTCATAAGTGATGCTCGCTAACAACACTTGCCCCAACAGTCTGTTCAAGCTACAGGGGGAGCTTTGTCTTGATATGTGTGTGTGCATACACTTGTGTGTGCATGTGTATGTAACTACGTGTCTTTGTGATGTGACTTTGGGGAGCTGTACCGTAGCCTTAAATGAGCATATATAGAGCGGTGTGAAAACACACCATCACTGATGAAGAGACGAAGGCGGTCGGGTGTAGTGCTAGCCAGACAACACCCCTAGTGCGCGTTAATAGGAGCTCGCTAACAGCACTTGTCCCAACACTACAAAAGGTTATACAGAGGGACTTTTGTGTATGTGCAATTGCGCGGCTGTGTGTGTGTGTGTGCGCCCGCCTGCGTACGTACATGGGGAGCGGTCGCGTTGTGGTTAGCGCGCTGTGCAAGGAACCCTGCGACCTGAGTTCAATGCCCGGCCCACAGCTAACATCAGTGGCTCGCGATAACTGCACCGGTTCTGAACCCCGCTCCCCTTGCCTCCGCTACCGACCCGCACGAACCGGCGTGGTGAAGTATGGCCATCAAAATAACCCCCCACCGTAGGTCGGCGTGAGTCAGTAGCATCGGGGAATCTCATGAGCGACGACAAGTCGATGGCGTGGGCCTGAAGCGACAGCGGTCACTTCTTGGGCCCTGGGCGCTTCACCGTTGCAGATGCGGTGCAGGCCGGGGGATGGGGAGCAGCGGGTGAGCGAGATGCGAGCGCGGCGGGGAGACGGAGGAGTGAGAGTGGGAGGAGGAGGAGGAGGGAGTGAGAGAGGGAGGAGGAGGAGGGAGTGAGAGAGGGAGGAGAGGGAGAGAGAGGGAGGAGAGGGAGAGTGGGGGGAGAGGGAGAGAGGGAGGAGAGGGAGAGTGGGGGGATGGAGAGAGTGGAGGAGGAGAGAGGGCGAGAGGGAGAGTGGGGGGATGGAGAGAGTGGAGGAGGAGAGAGGGCGAGTGGGGGGATGGAGAGAGGGAGAGGAGGAGAGAGGGGGAGAGTGGAGGAGGAGGAGAGAGGGGGAGAGTGGAGGAGGAGGAGAGAGGGGGAGAGTGGAGGAGGAGGGGGGGAGTGACGCGCTCCCATGATGAACGGATGAGCGGCGTGCTGCTGCTGTTTCTCTCAGAGCGACTTGGATTCACATGCACACACACACACACGCATTTACATACGTCTACACACATACAGTATACACACAGACACATACACACGCGTATACACAAGCCTGTGTACACACACACATTGGTATAAACACACAGCTATACACGGATCCATAACATTCAGTTTATGCACGCTCTATTCTTCACGTTCAATATACACATACATATGTACACATCTTTACAGATACAGTACACGCGCCTATATGTACACGTTTGTATCAACACACATCTATAATAGTGCATACGCGTACATTATAAACACATCCATATATACGCACACCCCCTATATACCCAAGAATACCCACATCTACTATACAGTATATACACATCACATACATACACACCTCCATATACAGCATACACATTCATACACACACACACATCCAAATCTATACCGACACATCCATATACACATATCGTAACAAGCATTGCCACACATACAAACGTATATACACACACAACACATACATACATCCAAGTACAGCATCACCCACGCATTCATATATATTACACACACACACATCCTCACACACATCCTCACACACATACACATCCACACACGTGTGTACGTGCCAATCAGCATTGAGAAGTACGCTGGGACTTCACCTCTCGCGCTAAGGAAGATTTGAACACAGCACCCGGTATGTGTGTACGTGCGTGTGTGTGTGTCCTTGTATGACGTGCGTGTGTGTGTGTCCTTGTATGTCGTGCGTGTGTGTGTGTCCTTGTATGTAATGGGGAGCGGTGGTGTAGTGGTTAGCGCGCTGCGCTACGAACCCGGCGACCCTAGTTCGATTCCCGCTCACGCCCCAACAGCAGTGACGATTATCTGAACCGGTCCTGGGCCTCACCTAGGTCGATTCAGCCTCAAATGAGTACTTGGTACGATGTGTGTAAACATTGCCACTGGGGAGACAAAGGCGGTCGGGCGTGGCGCTGGCCACCCACCCCCTCGTGTACCGTTCCGGCCTTCATAGGTGCTACTCGCTAACAGCACTTGCCCCGACAGTCTGTTAAGGCTATACGGGTGACATTTGTTTTGTGTATGTGTGCCAAGACCAGAGTTCGATTCCCGCTCCACTAGGTCGACTCAGCCATAAATGAGTAGCTGGTGCGGTGTGTAAACATCAGCACAGGACGTGGTGTTGGGCCGCGCGTTGTGCCGTGCCGGCTGTCATCTGTGCTCGCTCACTGCACTTGCCCCTACAGTCTGGCAAAGGCTCTGCGGGGGACCTTTGCCTCTGTACCCGTGTGTGTACGTGCGAATGTTAACGGCAGTGCGTTTGTGTTGCTGCAGTGCGTTAGTGTGTGTGTGTGTCCCAGCGCACGTGTGCGTGTTGTGTGCAATAGGTGTTGTGTGTCTGTGTGTTGTGTATGTCGTTTGTATTTTATGAATGTGTGTGTGGTTTGTGTACGTCTGTGTATGTCTTTGTCTCGTGTGTTGAGTGTGTGTGGCTTGTGACTTGTGTATGGTTTGTGTGTATTTTGTACATGCATGTGTTGTGTGTGGCGTGTGTGTTGTGTTTGTGGCTATGTGTGTGCATGCGTATTGTGTCTGCGTTGTATATTGTGTACGTGGGTTTGTGTGTCTGTAGCTCGGCATGTGGTGTGTATGAGTGGTGTGTGTGTGTTAAATGAATACTGTGTATGTGAGCGGTGTCGATTGTGTTTTTTGTGTAAGTGGTGTGCATGCGAGTGTGTGTGTGTTGTGGGGGGTGTATGTGTGATTGATGTGTATACTTGAGTGGTGTGTGTCAGCGTGTCTTTGTATCGTCGTGTGTTACTACGTGTACTGTACAGTATGTATGGGTTGTAAGCTCTGCATGTGTGCATTGACTGTGTCAATGCAGGTGTATATAGCTGTGTGTGTCAGCACTTGCCCCAAGAGGGCTGTTGAGGCTATAGGGGGGATCTTTGCCTTTGCGCGGGCGTGTCTGTGTGCCAGTGCGTGTGTGTAATTGGTTTGAAGGGGACGTGGGAGCGTGGCGGTCAGATGTGGGATTCCCCGAGTCCCAGGCTACTTCTGGGCTCGCCTCCACATTAACCGGAGGCGGTGGTGGTTGGTGGTGGCTTACGCCCCCGCTGAATATTGAGCATCAGTGGAGGGATGCAGACAACTCTGATGAGTGAAAAGCTGCCTACCTATGACCTCCTGGCCTCCAGCCGGCGTCATGTTAATGCCCGATTGGATCACAACGCAGGCGCAGAGACTGGGGTCATTGGAAGGCATGGGACAGATCAGCTCCGCACGAAGCTTCGGGTCCTTTCGGCCACGGTTATGATGTCGCCTTCTCCGTGCTTGCGAAACGTGGAACCCCCCCCCCCCCCCCACTCTGAAGCTGAAAGAACATCTGTGCCGGCCGGTGGGAAACATTCAGGCCGGCTTGCCCACGACCAGGCCGGATTGTGCGAGGAGCTCACAAATCCTTGATAGATCTGGACACGGCCCCCATCAGTGAGCGCCTCTGGCAGGCGAGGCTGCGTTGGTTGGGTCATGTAGCCCGAATGTCCACCCACTTGCAGGCCCAAGCAGCTTCTGATTAGCCGGATAGAGGGGGGGGGGGGCTGAACAGGCTAGAAAAGAGATGGGCTGATGCGGTACGGGAAGGTGTGCGGCTGATTGGACTTGCCGATGAGGAGGCTCATGCAGGACGCGACTGGGCAGTGACGATTATCTGAACCGGTCCTGGGCCTCCCCTAGGTCGACTCAGCCTGAAATCAGTACCTGGTGCGCGATGTGTAAACATCGCCACTGGGAAGACAAAGGCGGCCCGGCGTGGTGTTGGCCAACTACTCCCTCGTGTGCCGTTCCGGCCTTCGTAGGCGCTCGTTAACAGCACTTGCCCCGAGTCTGTTCAGGCTGTACGGGGGATCTTTGTCAATGGTGTGGTGCTATAGTTGTGTGTGTATCTGAATGGTGTGTTTAGTTGGAGTATGTGTGTAAGCGTGGTGTGTGTTCGTGATGCGAGTGGTGTATGTGGGGAGCGGTAGTGCAGTGGTTGGCGCACTGCGCTATGTGAACCCGGCGACCTGAGTTCGATTCCCGCTCACGACCAACATCGGGGAGGAATATCTGAACCGGCACTGGGCTTCCCCTGGGTCGACTTAGCCTCGAATGAGTACCTGGTGCGGTGTGTAAACATCACCGGTGGGGAAATAGGCGGCCAGGTATGGTTCTGGCCGTCCACCTCCTCGGGTGCCATCCGGGCTTTCATAGGTGCTAGCTAACAGCTTAGCTAACAGCTCCTGCTCCAACAGTCTGTGAAGGCTCTATGGCTGAAGGTGGCGGGGGGTTACGTTCTTGGAGATTTGGCCGAATTCCTGGAGTGTTATTTTTCATTTACTCGGCAGCGCTGCCAAATTGCGTGACTTGGAGCATGAGCGGGCATTTTCTAAGCGGTTGTGAAATAGAATTCTCAACAACAGCAACAACAAGAGCCCACAACTTTTGAACAAAAAAAGCGATTCCTCCTCTTTTGGGATCCTGTCTTGCAAATCTGGTGCAATGTGGGTCCCGTGCAGAAGTCCGGCCGATGCTATTTTAGCATCGCCATCGTCGTCACCGGCTGTGCTCTGTTCACTGCTCGATCAAGGCTTCCCCAGAACGCCGCCGCCAATACAAAATAAACCCCAACCTGTCAGCTCCCTTCGCGTTAAGCGATGTCACGTACAATTAATAGGGCTCGTTAGAAAGGTGTTCAACGTCCATGCGTACGTTCTAACGTTTCATAATATTGACAGCACAATTAGATTGTATTCTAATCGACCTATCGGTGTTGTGTCGCGAGACGTATTCTCGCGATGCAGTGCCCCCACTTCTTCCTTCCGTGACAGATATTGGCCCTGGAAGGTGATGTCACAGAACTACTGCCGAAGTCGCCTCTCACTCCACACGCGTCCCCCCCCTCCCCCCGGGGCTGTCCCGCCTTGCACGTGTTACCCCCCCCCACCCCCGCAGGTGCCTTCGAGGACTTCGCGATTTGCAGACGGGTGAGACGGAGACGGAAGGGGAGGGAAGTGGAGGGGCGGATACCCCCAGCGCCGTGACCACGCCGTGCCAGAGGGAGAGACCACGCGTGGTGAGTGGAGGGGACACGTGGAGCTCAAAGCGTGGATGGCGTGGGCCATGGTTCCAGGAATTAAATGCCCTTTCCTGCACCCAGCACCACCACCCCCGACCTCCACCCCATGTCCAATTTTGCCTTTTATTAAGTTATAAAGTTATAAGTGTAGCCCTGTGCAAGGGGAGTGCGGCTGCACCGCCTCTACACGCGGTAGCTTTGCAACCGGTGTCCTACTGCGTGTCTATCTATCTGTGTGTCTATCTCTCTCTCTATCTGTGTGTCTATCTCTCTATCTGTGTGTCTATCTCTCTATCTGTGTGTCTATCTCTCTATCTGCGTGTCTATCTCTCTATCTGTGTGTCTATCTCTCTATGTGTCTATCTCTCTATGTGTCTATCTCTCTATCTGTGTGTCTATTTCTCTATCTGTGTGTATATCTCTCTATCAGTGTGTCTATCTCTCTATCTGTGTGTCTATCTCTCTATGTGTCTATCTCTCTATGTGTCTATCTCTCTATCTGTGTGTCTATCTCTCTATCTGTGTGTATATCTCTCTATCTGTGTGTCTATCTGTGTGTCTATCTCTCTATCTGTGTGTCTCTCTCTCTATCTGTGTGTCTATCTCTCTATCTGTGTGTCTATCTCTCTATCAGTGTGTCTATCTCTCTATCAGTGTGTCTATCTGTGTGTCTATCTCTCTGTCTGTGTGTCTATCTCTCTATCTGCGTGTCTATCTCTCTATCAGTGTGTCTATCTCTCTATGTGTCTATCTCTCTATCTGTGTGTCTATCTCTCTATCTGTGTGTCTATCTCTCTATCTGCGTGTCTATCTCTCTATCTGTGTGTCTATCTGTGTGTCTATCTCTCTATCTGTGTGTCCGTCTCTCTATCTGTGTGTCTATCTCTCTTTATGTGTGTCTATCTCTCTATCTGTCTATTTATCTGTGTGTCTATCTCTCTATCTGTGTGTCTATCTCCGTGTTTGTCTGTTGGTCGATCTGTCTGTCTGTCTGTCCGCCGGCCGGGTGGCTCAGCGTGAGAGCGAGCGGCGCACAATCGGAAGGTTAGGAGTTCAAGCCCTGCTACGGGGAGGTGTTGGGGGGGGGGGGGGTGAGGGGTGAGGACATAACTCACCATTGCTCCAGGGTCGATAAAACAAGTAACACTCTGTGGGTAAGGCAACGGTGGTTGCCGTATGGATGGCAGTCCACCAATCGCAACGGCCTGACTGCAGCGCCTGATATTGCCGCCTCCCACCAACTTGGGGGGGAGTCATAAAGCCACCGAATTTCTGGGAGGCTCAACCAGGACCGATGGTGAGCTGGCAGCCCTTCTCCCGTCCTACGTTCGCTCCGGTTCGCGCCCGCTTGGCTACGTACGGTGCGAAAGAGGTTCAACATACTCTTTGGTTCTATTCGGTAAAGTCACGTGGGTAAACAATAAAACGATAAAAAAAAATCACGACGGTGCTGTCCTCGTGACAGCACGGTCCCTTCACCTGATGAAGGCCACTTGTGTTGTGGCCGAAACGTCGTGATTTTTGTTGTTTTATTTTTTTACCTATGTGACTTTACCGAATAGAACCAAAGAGTATGGATCCTTGCAGTCACGAAATCTTCAAATCTAGAAGTTCAACGTACGTGCATACAGCCCATCCCCAATGTTTCTTCTGGTCGTGCCGCGGCGTGTGCTGTTCGGTACGGTGCCCGACGTTTCGCCCCACGTTCTGGGAGCCCCTTGAGGAAATGAATTCAACACAGCGGAGAGATACGCTCGCAGTGACCCGTTCTGGGAGTGCACAATTTCGGCAGCATTGGGTTCAACGCAAAGGAAAACTCTGGACCGGTTTGAAAGCAGAGTGTCGAACCACAGCAGAGTCGGGCTTGCTTTGAACCGAGCCTTAAATACAAGCCAACCCCACCCACTGTCCAGGTAGCTCCACCCACTGCACAAGGTAACTCCGCCCACTGTCCAGGTAGCCTGCCCACTGCTCAGGTAGCTCCGCCCACTGTCCAGGTAGCCTGCCCACTGCTCAGGTAGCTCCGCCCACTGCCCAGGTAGTTCCACCCACTGCTCAGGTAACTGCCCACTGTCCAGGTAGCCTGCCCACTGCTCAGGTAGCTCCGCCCACTGCCCAGGTAGCTCCGCCCGATGCTTAGGTAGCTCCGCCCACTGCTCGGGTAGCTCCGTTCACTGCCCAGGTAGCTCCGCCCACTGCTCGGGTAGCTCCGCCCACTGCTCAGAGAACCCCGCCCACTGCCCAGGTAACTCCGCCCACTGCTTAGGTAGCTCCGCCCACTGCCCAGGTAGCTGCACACATCATGAGTCGAGCGTGAAGCCCAGAACATTTGAAACCGGAGACAAAAATAAAACCTCAGGGGACACCAGGCGACGGCCTTATCTGAGAAGACTCGGAACTGCCCCGGCCGGAACAGAACGTGTGCTCTATCTTCAGACATGGTGGGGGGCAGGGGGGGGTGGTGGTGGAGAGGAAGGGAGGGGGCACGGGGAGGGCTTGAGTCGAGGTCGGGCCCGTGACGTCTCCCCCCCCCCCCCCCCCCGTGTTTACGGAGCGCTGCGCGCGGGCACGCTCAGAGCGCGTGCGGTTGATGATGATCCCAGCGGTGACGAAACACGGAGGGACGACCTTTACACCCGGGAGCTCCCTTCCTGATGGTCACTCGCACGTTACAGCTTGGCCCTGCTACAGCTTGTTTATATTACCGCCTGTTTACTGCAGCCTGTCCCTGCTACAGCCTGTTTCTATTGCCGCCTGTCCCTGCAACAGCCTGTCACTGCTGCAGCCTGTCTCTGCTACAGCCTGTCACTGCTACAGCCTGTCCCTGCTACAGCCTTCCCCTGCTACAGCCTGTCACTGCTACAGCCAGTCTCTATTACAGCCTGTCCCTGCTACAGCCTGTCCCTCCTACAGCCAGTCTCTATTACAGCCTGTCCCTGCTACAGCCTGTCCCTCCTACAGCCAGTCTCTATTACAGCCTGTCCCTCCTACAGCCTGTCTCTGCTATAGCCTGTTTCTACTGTAGCATGTCTCTACTACAGCCTTTCTGGACTGCAGCTGTGTATCACTGAACGTTGTGCGTATATCTCTCCCCTGTATGTATCAATATGTCTGTGTCTTTGTCTCTCTCTGTTACTACGTATGCCTATCTGTGTAGCTGTGCGTGTCTGTTTCTGCACGTCCGCGTATCCTCTTTGTGTGTACCTCTCCGTGTGTCTGTGCGCATATATTCACGGACGTCTGTGCTGCCTGTATTGTTTGACTATCTCTCTCCATTTGTCCATATGGCTCTTTGTCTTTCTGCCCATCTCTGCCTCCAGCCAGCCTGTCCGTCTGTCTGCCTGTCAGTCGATCCTCCTCCATCTCCGTCCATCCGTCCATCCATCTGACTATCGGTCGTTCTGTTTGCCTGTCCCGTCTACCATCACCACGCCCCTGTCCTTCTCTCCGCGCTCGTAAACACGGACGGGTGCCAGGCCTGGGTCGCGGTGTGCATAACAATTCTCGACAGCCTCGGCACGCGGTGCTTTGTGTGGCGTTGGTGGTGGTGGCGGTGCAATTGCGCGTGGAAGATGCACGAGGGGCGTGGGGAGAGGAGATATTTCGGTTGTGGGGGGGATGGGCGTGGGGGGCACCAACAGCAGGTTGATGTAACAACAGCAGGTGGATGTTGGTACAGCTTGCTAACCCACCCGTTGTGGACATTTGTTATAAAGAGCTTCATAGCTCATCGGATTCCTCCAGTCCAAGTATTCAAAGGTTGCATCGCACCTAAACCTCACCCCCACCCCAGGGGTCACGATCCCAAGGCTGTCCAGGGGCATTATGACCCACGCTCGAATCCTTAGCGGCAAAGGTCGCGACCTTTGGAGCGCGAGGTCATTAACGTCACGCTGATGTCAAAGCGGTCGCGTCACCGCCGCACATGATTCAGTCCGCCCCCCGCTCGCTTGCCTGGCTCGAAAAAAGCCGAGGACGGCGCCTGCGGAGGTGAAGTAAAAAAAAATAAAAGGCTTTGATGTGCTGCCCCACAAGTCCCCGTAATCAGCAGGCCGCTCGCAGCCAGGCCTGGGAGTTGGGAGCAGGGGGGGTTAAGTGGGGACATTCGTACTACAGGGAGCACAACTCACGAACGATGGAGCCACAGGAAAAAAAATATACGTTCGCAGTTATTCTTGGTTCTTTCGGTAAAGTCACGTTTCCCTTCTACGTGACTTTACCGAAAGAACCAAGAATATGAATCCCTGCAGTCACGAAAGCATTAAATCAAAATGTAACGTTCGCAGTTATTAAGTAGCACTCTGTATTCATACTAACATTTCAATTTGAATGATGGCAACAAGACTGCCTTGATTATTTGCTGGTTTATCAGGTTTTCGTTTTAATTTAAACCTGCAGATCTTCCCCACCTGATGCAGATTAAAAGTCGGAGTGAGCTGCTACTCATGATGAGCGTTGAGGCATTGGTTCTCATCTCCCGTTTACTGCCCTGAGTCAGGGGTGGAAATTCCATGTTCCTCTGGCAGAGAGGGCGAGTCTCTGTTGCACTTCCCGAAAAAAAGTTATACTCATTTTGATCGACCCCGGAGGGCTGATGGACTGAGTGAATCGCTCCAAGCAGCATGTCATTCTGGAGACAGCCGGCTGCCTAATGCATCTATAAATTATTTAAAACTATAAACCATTTTTATTCTACCAGGTGAGGCCCACTGAGCGACCTGGCCACAAATGATAGCTCAACGAAGAAGTGGCTTGTCACGTGGACATTTATAGCAGCGGCCAAATACTCCAAACGCACGTTTCTAAATGTGGAGGGGAAAATCCAGAGAACCCGGGGAAAAATCCACACGACCACGGGGAGAGAGGCATGCAAATTCCAAATATACAGCAGCAGGCGTCAGGGTCGCGATGGAATCCACGACGTCCTGTATACCAGGCGAGGTAGTTAACATCTCCTAGCCACCGTGGCACCCAACACTCGAAGGGACGCTTGTGGC